ATTTTAACTTCTCAGTATACATTGTAGTTGATTTTCATGACCCTTTACCCATTCCTCTTTTCCCCTCCCTCTTTCCCCTCCCCCCCCACATCATATCTGTTCACTTTTCTTAACAAGTTCAAGGAATTGTTGTGACTGTGTAAAGTGCATAATGCAGGCAAATACAATTTCATCTTTTAAGATTATTTTAAGGCTTAAATAAGAGAATTATGTAAAATGCCTGGTTTATGATATATATGCTCAATAAATTCATTTTTAATATTATATCAGTCCTATATGTCTGGGCTTATAACACCCAATACCATATTTGGTATAATAAGCTCTTATTTTGTATTTTGTAGGCTTTGGGTTGCTAGGATATATTATTGGCCAGAGTCCAGGAATTTTCCTGACTTTACTAAAACTTGTTTTCCTTCTCTTCTATACCAGTGTTTTTCAAGCTCTAATCTGCATAGACATCATCCAGGGGTTTTATTACCATGCAGATTCTGATTTAGTAGTTCAGTGGGGAGGAAGGTAGCACTTAGCTTCTGCATTTCTATCTAGCACCCAGGTGCTGCTGATGCCATTGGCCTACAGACCAAAATTTGAGAGACGAGGTCATAGACCCAAATGAAGAACCCTCCATTCATTCAAAGCCATGCGTTACTCCTTTCATAAATAATACAACCTCATGCAAGGCACTGTGTTGGGTAGTAAAATTAGATAAAACTGATTTGAAAAATCTCAATGTCCTTTCTTCCTAATTGTAGCCTCTGGGAACTTCAGGCTCCTCATCTTTAACAATAAGAAAAATGACACCTACTTTTAGGGTATGGAGAAATGAATGAAACCTTTTGTTAAAACGTTCCAATGCTAGAAACATAGGTATACGCAATAAAAATTATCACCATCATTTAACAAAAATTTGGGTGGTGGTGGGGGAGAACAGAGTTCTCTCTAGAAGAAATCAGAAACTAAACTTCCATTGATTTTTCCAGAAAATTGCCATAGCTGATTCTCTTCTCTAATAAATAGTGACAAATTCCATCAGTAAATATCATTAAATCAATAGACAAATCATACTTGGAATAAGGGAGGTGAGAATTATTCTCCACTCCCAGATGTCTAGGAGAGCCACTGAAGTCCACTGTAGAGTTTTTTTTAATGCCAAATAAAAAATGAACTGAGCCAATTTTATCAAAAGTAATAACTCATTTATATAGAACTTTTCCTTTCATTTTCTTATGTAATCTCCACAACATCTCACGTAAGACAGTAGTATTCTTACCATTTTACAGAGCAAAAAACTGAGGCTTGCGTACATCAAGCAGCATGCCAGAGATTGCAATACACAGACAAGGCAGGATTTCTGACCCCAAGGCCCGTGTTCCTCCAGCCATACTACATTGAGCCCCTCCCAATTTAACAATCATCGGAGGTTAAAGTCCCAGTGCTCATAGCCAACACCCTTACTATTTGTTGCTGAATCAACTGAGAGGACTGATGCCTGGAAATCCAATCCACCATGCATTAAATACACATGCATTGGATACTTAGAATGTACTGGGCAACGTGCTCCTTTGCTAGGTACTGAGGATAGAGTTCTGAGTAAGATAAACACAGTCCTTGCCCTCAGGAGGTTTACAATCCAGTAGGAGAAACAATGAACAACCAAAGAAACATGCAAGTAATTTAACAAGGTAATCACCTTGAAAGAAAGTAATGGAATACAGGGATAGAAAATAACAACACAGGACTTGACATCAGATTTCCAAAAAGGCTTATTTGAGGACAAGATATTGAAATTGATGTCAAGGATGTCAAGAATTTCCAAAAATGAGAAAAGCAAGAATGGGAAGAAGGGTGTTCTAGACAGAAGAGAACTTGTGTGGAAATTCTCCAAGGCTGGAAGGACCTTGGAACATTTGAGGAAGTAAAAGGACATCCACAGGGCTTCAGTAGATGGAGGAAGAGAAAGCATAACATCAGAACATTGGGAGGTTTGAAGGTTGGGATAAGGGACTTGTTGTCTATTCTAGGAATAACGGGGGTCTTGTAAAGAGTTTAAGGCAGGGAAGTGAGTCTATACAATCTGTGGTTTTTAAAGACCTCACTAGCTGTTACATGGGGAAGGACTGTAGAGGGAAAGGCTGAGAGCAGACAGACCCAATAAGAAGTTATTTCATTTATCCAAGTGAGATAATGGCTTGGCTCTAGGGAAAGGCAAGATGTAGAGAGATGTGAAAAATATTTTGCATCTACAAATTTTGTTTTCAGATGGACAGGTCCCTGGAGATAGGCAACGTGACCAGAGTCCAGGAGTTTGTATTGCTGGGTTTGTCCACTAGGCTGGGCTTAAGAGATACCCTGTTTGCCATCTTCCTGACTCTCTACCTGCTAACCCTCTTGGAGAACACGCTTATTGTCTACCTCATCTGCAGTCAAAGAGAGCTCCAGAAACCTATGTACTTCTTCTTGGGCAACCTCAGCCTGTTGGAAATGAGCTATGTATCAGTGACCATGCCCAGCCTGCTTTTGGGACTGTGGACTGGACCCTATCATGTGTCCTTCACAGCCTGCATGACTCAACTCTTCTTCTTCATCTCCCTTATCTGCACTGAGTGCACCCTCCTGGCATCCATGGCCTATGACCGCTACGTGGCAATCTGTTCCCCACTCCACTACCCCCTACTCATGCGGCCCCAGGTCTGCCTGAGCTTAGCCTTGTCTTCATGGCTTGGGGGGCTGCTGGTCTCAGTGATCAAAACAGCATGCATTGCCAGCCTGTCCTACTGTGGCCCCAATGTCCTAGACCACTTTTTCTGCGATGTCTCTCCTCTGCTCAACCTGTCCTGTACTCACGTGGCCTTGACGGAACTGGTGGACTTCATCTCTGCTATCATCATCCTCTGGGGTTCCCTCCTTGTGGCCATGACTTCCTATGTAGCCATTGGTAGGGCTGTGCTCCGCATGCCTTCAGCTGCTGCCCGCTGCAAAGCTTTCTCCACCTGCGCCTCCCACCTAGTAGTGGTGGGCATCTTCTACTCAGCCACCATCTTCATCTATGCCCGTCCCAGCCGCATAGAAGCCATGGACCTCAACAAAGTGTTATCTGTCATCTACACAGTGGTCACACCCATGTGCAACCCCATCATCTACTGCCTGAGGAACAAGGAAGTCCTAGCAGCTTTCCATAGAACCGTGCACTGATCCTGAGGTTGACCAGCAGACCAGGGCATGAGAGAGATCTTGAGTTATCAATATGTTATTTTTTTATTGACATATAGTTCATATACCATAAATTTTACTCTTTCAGCATGTATAATTTAACAATTTTTAGTATGAATATATTCATGAAGTTGTGCAACCATCACTACTGTCTAATTCCAGAATGCTTTCATCACCCTCAAAAGAAACCTGTGCACATTAGAAGTTATTCCCAATACCACCCCCACCCCACTACCCTTAGCCCTAAGAAACCACCAATCTACTTTTTATCCCTATAGATCTGCCTGTCCTGGACATTTCATAGATATGGAATCATATAATATGTGGCCTTTTGTGACTGGCTTCTTTCACTTAGCATGGTATGCTGAAATTCATGCATATTGCAGCATATAACAGTACTGCATTCCTTTTTATGGCCAAAAAATATTTCATTGTATGGATAAACCACATTTTGTTTGTCCGTTCATCTATTGATGGACATCTGGGCTGTTTCTACATTTTGGCTATTGTGAATTAATGTTGCTCTGAACATTTGTGTACAATTTTTTGAGTGGACATATATTTCCAATTCTCTTGAGTATATGCTCGGCTGCAGAATTGCTGGATCGTGTGGTAACTCTGTGTTTACCTTTTTTTAGGTGTCCATTACACTCATTCATTGTATACTTCTTATGTACTAGCACTGGGGATACAATGGTGAACACAGCAATGCTTAATAGCGTCTGATTGTCTTAATTTTCAGTTTAGCAAAGTAAAAACCCTAATATCATTGGTACATATCAAATAAATATCATCATTAACATTAAAAATACATGAGTAACATACCTTGACCCAATCTAAATCCTTGAATTTCAATTTTTCAAATAAATGGCAAATGCAGTCACTACTCTATCTCTATCCTCTCGAACTCCCAAACTCTTTTCCAAAGTGGTTAATGCCCTACTTTTAAGGTATAATTTTAAGATATTTAAGATATAATTATGAGAGCAGGTGAGGGGCAGTTATAAACAGGTAATTTATAGTTGAAATGATGAAAATGACCAACAAACCTAAGAAACCTCACTGGTACTTGGGAAAAAATGTTAATTACAACAAATTATACCATCACTATATCAGATCAGGAAAAATTTAAATAATTGTTAACACCTAGAGCCGGTTAGGCTTTAGAAGAGTGTGCACTCTCATTTCTGGTGGTGGCATAAATTTTTAGAGCTTTCTTGGTGAGCAACCTGGTAGCATCTGTTAAAATTTTTTAAAGTGTGCCTACACTTTGATCCATGTTTGCAAATATCTCAAAAGGAAATTAAAGCACTGGTTTGTAAAAATATGTGTATGAGAATGTTTATTGTGGCATTGTTTTAAGTATGTGAATATTCATCAATAATATAATGAGTGAATAAATTATGGTGCCTCAATTTTCTGACATCTTATGTAATAAAAAAGCAAGAATTAGTTATACTTATACTTTGGAATAAAAGCATAATATATTTGTAAATAAAAGGTAAACGTTAGAGTAAAATTTTAAGTAACTATTTAATCTTTGAGTTAACATTTTAAAACAAAAACTCATATGTTTACATGCATTTGCATAAGGTTTTTTTTCGAGGATGCACACACCCAAAAATTCAAGAACAGTGAGAACATTTTTTGTAAATTTCAGTAACAATTAAAGTTATTCACCAAAATTTGTTCAATGTTTCTGAATATGCCTAAAAGTCTGATCTGAGTGTGCATGAACTTTGAATCAGAATGCAATTATAAAAATTTTTGCCAATAAAATAATTCAGGATGCTTGCAACAATTGTAGCTGCAAGAATGTTCATAACATTTTGTGCTGTTAATGAAGAACTATTGGTAGAAGGCTCTTCAGTAATACAGGGTCAGTTAAAATAAACTGAAAATCATCCACACAATAGAATCCTAAGGTGTCATGAAAAATAATTTTTGTAAGTATATTTACTGCCACTAAAGATGTCAATTATATAATGTAATGTGGAAAAGTCAGATTATAAAACAGCACACAGTGTAATTATGTTTTAATTTTTCAAATGAAATGTGTATATATACATACAAAGGAAAAAAATTAAAAATAAATACCATGAAATGTTGTTGGTGGTTGCCACTGTGTAGAAGACCTTGGGATTGCTTTGCTTTGCTTTTTGCTCTATTGTCTTTTATCAATGTTTGTGGTATGTATGTATTGCTTTTGTAAAAAAAAATTGACTTTGTTATATTAAAAAAATCACTTTATTCTTGCTCTTTTGTTCATAAGATAGAACTAAACCTCCTTAACTAGGAATTCAAGATCCTAAATATTGTTTCATTTTCAGTCACACTAGACACAACATTATCTAAATGTATCCTATTCTGCATACCTGGGTGACTTTGCACATGCTGTTCCATCTGCTAGGAATACTATACCCTTCCTTGTCCTCCCTTTTAATGTAGATATATTCAAGGCTCAGATTCAGGTTGCCTTCTTTATGGAGTTTTTCCTAATTCCCCTAGTGCCCAGGCACAATGCAATGCTTCTTCTAATCTTCTGTGGCCTGAAATTCACATGTGGTGAAAATAAAGACCAGCACATGAGCCTTACAGAAGCATGGACCTCATTGGTCCTGCTCAGTGCCAGTGCTTAGAACAATGCCTGGTATGCATGAGGAGCTTAGTAAATTTGGTTAAATAAATACATGAGTAATTCATTGAACGAAGGTAATGTCTTACTGATCTTTATATTTTCAATGACTTCTGGCTATAATATCTACTGCTTCTAGAGAACTTGCTGAATTTCAGACTCTGTGAATCTCTTTATACAGATTATTACATTTTAAGTCTCACTAGAGGCGGTACCTGGGACAAAGATTGCTAATCATCCTAGGATCAATTATTTCTTCTCACTTTAATAAAAACCCACCAAATCTCAGCTAGGAACATAGCTGCCCAGAATAAAAACTATGATTTTCAGCTCTCCTCTTGTCCCTACATGAGGTCATATGAACATGTGATGGACAAAGGTTAATGGGAAAGTTTCAGGTTATGCCTGAAGGGGAGAAGTGTATTCTCTACATGCTTTTTTTAAAGTCAGTTTTATTTATATTTATTTTTGTGGGGTAAAGTGTGTTGTTTCAATCCATGAATATCCTGCATAATGATTCACTTAGGGTAGATAGCATAGTTTTCTCCCAATTAGTTCACCCCTAATCTTCCTCCAACCCCCACCCCTCCCAGCCTCTGGTAAACATTATTCTACTTTCTACTTTAAAACACACACACACAAAGATTAACATCCTTACTGAAAAATGAACTCTTAAAAATGAATTAGAAAACCCTAAGCAGAAATTTGGTAAAGAACATGAGCAGATAAGTCAAAGTGCAAAGAAACACACGTGGTTAATAAGTACATTCTAGGATCTGGTTGCAGATGGGGGTGGGGCTGGCTCTGTTGCTGGCCTGGATATGTGGCAGTGAGGGCAGGGCTAGGCCCACGGCCCCTGTGTCTCAGGACTTGAGCAGGCATCAGGCTGGCCCCATTTCTGGCCTGGATATGTGGCAGCAGGGGTGGGGCTGAGGCCCATTACCCCCATCTCTCAGGAACCCCCTGGGTTTTGTCTCTCATATTACAGTCAAACTGGCAAAAGTCAACAATAAAGAGAGAATCCTAAAAATAACAAGAGAAAAGCATCAAGTCATCTATAAGGGAGTCCACATCAGACAAATAGCAGATTTCTCAACAAAAACCCTACAGGATAGAAGAGAATGGAATGATACATTAAAAGTTCTAAAAGAAAAAAAACTGCCAGCCAATACTACACCCAGCAAAGTTATCCTTCAGAAATGAAGGAGAAATAGTATATTTCCTAGACAAACAGAACCTGCAAGCCTTCACCACCACCTGACCAGCCCTACAGGAAATCCTCAAGGGAGTCCTGAATCTGGAGCCCCCAAAATGGTAATCACCACTAGGAATACACAAGAATGAACAAGACCCACTGGTAAAGCAGATATGCAAATGAAAAAAAGAAAGGAACTATATCTTACCACCTCAGTAAAACAACAAACACTGAAGCAATAAAAAGGGAAGAAAGAAACAAAAGATATTTTAAAAACCAAATGACAATCAATAAAATGACAGGAATATGACAATACCTTCCAGTACCAACCTTAAATGTAAATGGATTGAATTCCCCATTCAGAACACAAGGGCTGGCTTATTGGATTAAAAAGTTAAAGCCAACTATATGTTGCTTACAAGAAACCCACCTCATCTGTGAAGACACAAACAGACTAAAAATGAAGGGATGGAAAAAGATATACCACCGAAATAGAAACCAAAAATAGGCAGGAGTAGCTATTCTTATATTGGATAAAACAGACTTTAAACTAAAAACCATGAAAAGAGACAAAGAAGGTCATGGTATAATAATAAAGGACTCTATCTGGACAGAAGATATAACAATCATAAATACATATGCACCCCAAACCAGAGTAACTGGACATATAAAGCAAACATTACTAGACCTAAAGAGAGAGAACCCAATACAATCATAGTGGAAGAACTCAACACTCCTCTCTTGACATTGGACAGATCATCTATGCAATAAGTCAACAGAGAAACACAGGATTAAAACTATACATCAATTGGATTTGGAGGACATCTACAAAACATTTTATCAAACAAGTACAGAATATACTTGTATTAGTCTGCTTATGTTGCTTATAGCAAAATACTTGGAACTGGGTAATTTATAAAGAAAACAAAATTTGTTGCTTACAGTTTCTGAGGTTGGGAAGTCCAAAGTCCATCTGGTGGTGGCAACAGTGACCCAGGGGTCTCACATTGCAAGACGGTGGAAGCAGAGAGAGCAGAGAGAGAGAAAAGGGGCAGACTCTCCTCTTCTTTTAAAGCTCTCAGAACCACTCCCCTGACCACCATTTTTAATCCAGTCACTACCACATGGTTCTCCAATCCAATCACCTCTTCA